AATTTAATAAATATTTATTTGAATAGTTCTAAGTAAATATTTACTAAATGTAAACATATATTTATTTTATTAAAATTAAATATAATCTTCATTTGATTATATACGTATTATTTTACTTTAATATGCACAATATTTAAATATTTTATGGTGTAGAAGGCCTGATCAAAGGTCGACATATAATAAGGTTTTTGATATTTTTACTCATATAATTGGAGCGTTTCTCGAATAATTTCGTTCTAAGATTTATTATTAAGAATACATTGTATGTCTTGATTCACAGAAAATTTTAACAAAGTTGTTTTGACTCTTATATGTCTTTTTCTCTCGTATCTATATTTATTTTATATAAAAACCATTAATTTAATTTTTAACTCATTATTTTTTATCGAGTAAATATTTAGTTAATGTAAGTAAATGATTTAGTGTTGTTCAGAGAAATATATATTAAAATTTAGTAAATTTTTTATTTCAGAGTAATTTTATTTTATAAATTCTTTATTTTAATACATGTTTGAAAAAAGGAAATGATATCCAAAGTCCAAACGAGCGATCAGATGAAATTCTTTAATGAAAACTTCTCAAAGACCCAAAAGAACGAACGATCTCACTCACCTTTCCAAGCCCATGATGGCACTATACTGCGACGTAAACACTGGATTGCAATCTCCCACTAATCCGCGTGAAAACCAGAGAAATTTGCGAGAGGAAAAACTCTACGAAAGAGAAGGAAAAAAGAAAATTGCCTCGTCGCGAAGTCACGACTTTGTTCTACATCCGCGTGTCACAGACGCTCAAACACTCGGAAACTTCTCGTCAATCGTGCTTAATCACACGACACGCAGAAGAGTCTATGCCGTAGGGGGTGAGCTGAAGTAGGAGGCGACGAATGATGTAGGCGATGGACGATGACGATGATGACGAAAGAGGCGTCAAAGCCATCTTCAGCAGTAGGACGTTTTTCTCGCCATCTCCCTTATCTGCCTTACTATCTGAAAGCTGGGTCAACAAACCGTTCATGCAGGATGCAGCCATGCTGTCTGCATCAGATTGATCACAAATAGGCCGCATTACGCACTCTTTGGTACATACACGTGTCCATAGTTGCCATCTCTCCGGTTTTCGACCAGAGATTCCAGTTTTTTGAAAAATTTCCAACTAACCGCTCAAAATTTTAATGACCTTTTTGTTAAATGCACGCGTCGATTTTTCTCCGGTTTAAAAAAAAATCTTTTTAGAAAAATCGGTTTTTAGATAACCATTTTTTTTTAAACATATTAGAAAACAATACAAATTTTGATATTGACAATCAAATTTTGATCTCTGGCAAAATAGTAAAAACTCCGTCGATTCTCCAATGGAACACTAATCGAAAGGTGGCAACTGTGGTCGTGTCTCTCGTATAAGTATGAATGCTGATCGCCCATCTTTTTTAGCGAAGGTCACATGACTTAATTGTCATCAGTGAATTATCGCGCGACCTATTTATCGTTTAAAAACCAATGACGAGCGACACATGGAAAGATACCTTTAACTCAATATATATTTATATAATTTTTTATTTTTCTCACCTGTAAATTGACGCAAGACCGTTTGAAATTCGCTGTCCACTTTTACGTCATTCACTGCACATGTGACGAATAAATTATCAGAAAATGACACGAACTTCACTTAACGGCCAACTGACAAAGTTCTGAGTCACAACATGCTTTCTCATTCTAAAGCCACGAGGTGAATCGAACAAAGCGATCCAGTCTAACACGTGATTCGCACGACACGGCGAATGATTACGTGATTATATCTATCCGATTTAATCGATCTTCAAATGTGTTATCGAACTTAAAATAAAAATTCGTGCTTTGTTGATTGGTTAGAAGGGGAAATCGAAATAGAATTTTAGATTTTATACTTTTGATGAGTCGAGCACACGTTATATTGCAAACTACAATATTATTTGCAATTCATTAACTCGCTACAGTTGTTTGCACAGCGAGAAGCCAATTTCGCAAAGCAATCATAGATGCGTAAAAATAATGATCTTTTTTTTTTGCAACCGAAATTAAACGTTTACATTTTTGATTTACATTTATACAACGTCCGCCATCCGAGCCCCTGCATCTCGTCTTGAATTTTAACGTAACGCCTATATCTATTTTAATTAACAATAAGATACAAAAAATTTATTCTGTGAAATGTAATTTTTAATCAATCTTTTATTTAATAAATCGTTCCGCATTTTTTCAGAAATATATGTTTTTTTATATACTATATATGTGTGCGTTGCAAGCATTTGCTTCTCGCTATTTCAAAAATGTAGATAATAAAACGAGAGCGACATCGTCGATAGTTAGTACTGTACATTTTTCAGTAATTAATATTATATACATTTATTCATGTAGCACATTGTTTCCGCATATTTGCCCACGCCATTATGACTTATTCACGTTCAAATAGTTTAACCCCAATTCACTCAACCAATTAAGTTAATTTACCCAGTATATATGGTACTAATCCATCTACAGTTAAATAAGATCAATAAATTTAATGTGAAAGTATGTATATAAATGTTCTTGAGGACAAACATGTGAATATTTGTGTTATATCGTTTAATTTTTAAGGCAATCCTAAAGATGATTAGTCGTAATGTAAGTAGGACTTACACACATACACGATTTACGTGTTATTGACACATCACTACGTACTAACTATTACTATTACAATATCTCACGCATATATACACATAAATTTTCGTACAAATAATAACATTCTAATTAAACGTTTAAGCCCAATTCTAAGTCGTTTCTTCGTACAAACTACTAATCTGTAGACTAATATTTCGTATAAATTGCACAATTTTTATATGAAGCAAATGTCACGATGTGGCAGCTTTAACGCCATAATGGACTAAGAAATGATAAAGATCTCAATTCCGAATTTTTTTGTCTTTCTCAGCATAAACTTCATCTCACAGACACGTATTAATGCGTATACTTTTATCCTAGAAAAGGATTTTCGAATTTGTAGAAAAGGAAAAAGTAATTATTATACAAAAATTAAACGTTTAATCGGTAAAACAGACGTCTTTAGAATCCCTTTACCTACAATGTATGTGTGTATGTGTTTCGATCTGTATTGTATTACGAATTATATTCTTTCTTCTACTTGTTATAGAATTTGATAAATGTTATTTATAAGCACTTATCATTATCTTATCATTATCAAATCAAGATGTCGAGTTAAACAACAGTAAATGTAGATCATCGTCAGAAAATGAGATATGTCACGTATTGAAACATCACAATTATTCGAAGTTAATCTCTTAATTGATACATGTCTTATTAAAAAAGCAAATATTTTTATTAAAATTTCTTTTTTTTCTATAACTTACAGCACCAATTATGTTAGTAAAAATTTTTCATTTTTGAACAAAATAAAATTCCACATTTTTCATAATTTTTTAATTTGTCTGGATTGATTTAAAAAATCTTAAATTCCACAGCATTTATTGCTCGTTAAAACAATATAGAAAAAACGAATAAAATAAAAATATATGTGCATTAAAATTAGTGAATCGAATATTTTTAGCAATATTTCGCAGGGCGCTACTATTAAATATCACAGAAAATAAAAAAAATTCATAAACAAAACAACAAACATACTTGATTTGTATACTATATACTATATATAGTATACTATATATAACAAATTATATAAATATGTTTAACCCTTTAAAGCCCAAACACTTTGTGAAGGCACTTGTGTTTTAATCTTCATAACTGATTCTGAATCAACAACAAAAAATCATTATAGAGATGCGGATCTATCATAGTTTTTCATGCTGAATCCAAATCCGTTCACCTTTTTTCCATTATCCTCCGTTTTCGAGTTTCTTAATATAATACTTAACAAATCGCAAGTTTTCATTTTTACGAAAGCTGTCCATTTATTTTGTATTCAAATCAATCATATATGTACTTCTAATTCAGTCCGTTATTGCGGTTTCTCGCTCTACGGCAAATATATAAATTATATACATACGTTTCACAAATCTTTAATTTCTCAACACTAATTATAAACACGTATCTGAAAATAATCTCTCGTTAAGACGAATTTTCTTTTTTAATGAAGAAGCTGTTCGTCTACTTTATAGGTATTCGTTGGTTACGTATTTTTAATTTAATCCTTATCGCGATTTCTCGTTTCGCAGCGAACATTTAAATTATATACGCGCTTCAAATCTCTTATCTCTCCACATTAATTATAAACACGTATCTGAATGTAATCTCTCGTTGAGACAAATTTTCTTTTTTAACGAAAAAGCTGTTTATTTATTTATGTTCTAAATTACATACGCTTAAAATCTCTTATTTCTCAATGTTAATTAAACACGTATCTCTGAAAATAATCTCTTATTAATTTCATATCACACGTTCTTATTTTTAATAAAAGCTGTTCATCCATCTTGTATTTTTTTCGGTCACAAGTTTTCAATTTAAGGGCAGGAGCACAAAGTTGCGTATCGTATAATATATACTGCATAAAAAAATAAATCAATCAAAATCCTTCACTTCCTTCCTTCTCATGAAATAAAAGACTAATTTTTTTATTCTTTATGTATTTATATGTCATGCAAAGGTCTTTGCTTCGGCCTTAAGGCCGCAGCACAAACTTTTACATAACGTATAAGAAAATCAACCAATTAAAGTTCTTTTCCGTGAAATGGAAGAAAAGAAAGGATTCTGATTAGTTGATTCTCTTATACACTTTATGCAAAGTCTTTGCTCTGACCTTAGGATATATCCACATCAAAATTATTCAATAGGAACAATAAAAGACATAAAATACGATTGTATAATTTTCTTTATACATATATTTATGTAACTATACAAGTTATGTGGATATACTCTTTAATCTTCATCGCACTCCATTTAAGACGACCCCTTGCGCCGGAATTACAAACTATTTCTCCCTCTCTAAACCCCTTCTCAATGACGTCATGGGCGCAAGAAGAAAATAATTCCTGTTAATGATCCCCGTAATTCACGCAACTACGAGAAAGCGAGGGTAAATAAACATACGTGAAGGTATTCATCAGTCGTCATTGACTGGCCCGCACCGCTGTGCATCAGTATTCAGTATTCACGTTTTGTCACCGCAGGCAATATTGACAATGCGTGTGGATACATATACACGTACGTAACCCGTGCAGTTACCCCGGACATTGTTACGCGAGATTATGGGCAGAATAACGCGGAGCTCGACCGACCAAGAGAAGCCGCAGCGGAAACGACGGAAGAAGGACCTCAATCGGATACACTCGAAGATCCTGCAGGCCAAGCAGAAGTTGGTAGGTCGCGTTTTCGATTCCGTCCTCGATCCTTCGGATGATCGCGACCTCGTCGCACTGAATCCCAAGGACGACAAAGTTAAACTTAAACCCCTTTTCACAATACATAAGATTTGTTCGCGTCGCATGCTCCAACATACTCCTACGATAGCTTCTACTCACTCTATCAAGCGCGTTGGAGTGAGTAGGAGCTATGGTAGGAGCATATTGGAACGTATTGGAGCATGCGACGCGAACAAACCCATAGTTACCTAAAGATTACAGGTTACCAAGAAATTCATGAATGTATATCATTGCTGAAATCTTAACCTTTAATCTGTAGGTAATCATAAATTTAGGTATGTTTTCTGTAGCTGAACTAATATACACTTATAAAACTTAGAGTGAAATAAATCTAATTAAATAAGAGAAATCCTAAAATGAAATAGATACATGTTTGACATTTGATGAAAACGAGAAAGTTTGCAGTGATCGGAATAAAAAACAGACCTCTCTCTCTATATTGTGAAAACGGCAAGTTGCGAATATCTCGATACTCCATTTCTTATGTTAGATCCGTTGAATGTGGTAGTTGCGCGTATTACGTAAGCACGATCGTTTCGCTACAATGTTTTTTTACTTATAACCGATTAGATTTTTGCATGGAAAAAGCGACGTTATCGACGATTATCGGCAGTCGTTGTCGTTTCAAAAAAAAGCCGCGGTGTTTAGGTGGCATGGAGACGCAATAGCTTCCGTGAGTGTTAGGTTAGTATTAACGTCAGGTGTTTACTGGCACTGTTTACAGGCCCTTGTGAACGGTAATCCCTTCGTTTGCGTAGCTCGATCGAGACTATTAACACGCGTTATGCTCTCAGTGAAGTTTAGCTAAGACCGTGATCGAGTAATAATCTCGTAGAACTCTTGTAATCTGCAAAACTGCTTTTCAGAGAGAGAAAATTGTGGCTTAGAGATCAGAGAACTTCTACGTGCTTTTAGATAAGTTACTGTTGGAAGAAATGTAATTTGCACTAATTTTGATGATATTATTCTAGTGATTGATATAATAGCTTGAAATTTATTACAGGATAAGATTGGAAAGGGTGATAACAAAGAACAGAAAAAGCAAGGCCGAGCAAAAATCTGTAATAGACTTTTGCCAGAACCCGTAAGTAATTTTATCTAATATTTATAAACCTATTTCTATTATCTTAATGATATTCCCATTATTCGTTAAATATCTGAATACTACTATTATTTCAGGTTGCTGGCATATACAGAAATGGCGCAAAGGGTAAAGACATTCAGAAAGGTAATATTCATTTTGAAACTTATTTGTTGTAACGATGAGCACAATGAAATGGTACAATTGCTTGAATCCTTGTAATGTCTTACAGCAGAGACATTGGAAAATACATACCATAATGCCCGGCTAAAGGCAGATGTGTTGGAACTTCTCAATGGTGACACTCATAAATCTGAGTAAGTAAATTACTGATAAAGTTTGATATAATGTATCACGAATGGATACATAATGATTTCTATATGTTATTTTATAGACGTATAGTGGAGATACCAATACAGAATAAAACTATTAAACAATCAGCAAAAAAAGATTGCATACAAAACAATTTTGAATTGAACGAACTGTGTATTCAAGAATTAAGTCCTGTTCTAGGAAATAGACAAAGGTACGTTTATTGTTTTAAATAGGATGATATGTAAACTTTTTTATATAAATATAAGAAAGATTTTATGTAAATGTTGCACACACACACACACACACACACACACACACACACACACACATTAATATTGCAGTCAAAATCAGAAGCCATGTCTTGCTAAAAAGAAAGGTGGAGAAAACATCTTTGAAGACATAAATTTCAACAAAACTAAAAAACAAAATATCAATGACAAATCAAGACATGTTCAAAAAGAAGACATATGTAAACGAAGACTGTTCCAAAATGATAAAGAGCCATCAGAAACTATTATTACTAATTTAACAGAGTAAGTAACATAATTATTAAGTCTAATAAAAAAATATATTATATCAAATAAAATATTTTAGAATATTTGATGATACTAATCTTACAAAAGAAAATAAAACTAGTGACAAAGAAACAGAATTGATAGATTCCAAAAACAACAAAGATTTATTGTGTGACCCAAAAAGTCGCTATATGGAATTCTGCAAAATCTCTGCCAAAAATTTTGAAGCAGATATTCTACAAAATTATTCCTCAGGTATATTATATGTATATAGAGTAATTGTAACCTGTGACATTTTTCTCATCATCCAGTAATTTATTAATCATTAACCATTATTTGTATTAGATCCTGTTACATCAACAATTAAAAAATTAAAACGTGTTTATACTGATTCTTTTCGTCAACAACTTTTGCGCAAAAAGAAGAAACAAGAATTAGAAAATACAAGCCCTACACATTCTGTGGAACATCAAGCTTGTGTATCTTCGGACACTTCGCAATTATCACCTGTTGAATTCGAAGTTCCTAAGTGTAGTAAAAACCATGCTATCGCAGCTCATTTCCAAGAAGGTGTATCTCACAAAGATAACAAATTCCATTTAGTACAAAATACTAAAAAATGTGATGGCACAATGGATTATAATTTTACATCTTACTTATTACGAAATACTGTTACATCTAACAGTAACTCAAATAGCCTCGTTGTCGAAAATTGCGAAAACGGCGATAATCAGTATTCAAAACAATCTAAAGACATCTTTCAACTTGCGAAATCAACAAATCTTTTTATCGTAAACAAAAAAGATTCAGTCCAAATGGATTCTCAGAAAAATCCTAACTACATTAATCATCTTTTAAAAAATAATCGGCATGATAAAGTTAATTTTTCTTTTGACATTCCTAATCATAAAAATTCACGACATGTTGATAATAATTCAAAATTCTTAAGAAAGTCAATATGTTTAAGTGATCCTGTACTATCAAAGAGACATTTTTCGAATGATTATTGCCGTGAAAAATTGCCTATTACTGTTTCCGACAATTGTGCATCAAATATATCTAAAAAATATAATAACAAAATAACAAATAATTGTGAAGTGAAGAATGTTAAACGAGTACCTGCTATCCTACGTCGATGTGTCGACATCCCCGTTAATAAGCCTAATCATTCTGTAAAGATTAATGGTGATGTGGAAGGCTTACATAAGAAATATGACACTAACCTATTCAATAGAAGTGACGGTATCAAAAAGGAATTATGTGAAACTGCATTCCCAAATTCATACACAAGTTTTCCTACTCCTAGCATAGTAAACGCGACATTTGATCAAACGAAAATATTAGAGCCTCAAATTGGATCGATGAAAATAAAAGATTCGCAAGAATCTCAAATCGAACAAATTAATGTAAATATGCATCCAAAGGAATATAACGAAAGAAATGAATTTCATCGATACGGTAACTTTTTGTATCCGCGACCTTTTGAAGTTTCATGTAATACAAATACTGAAAAATTGCTTCAACAAGAACAAATCTCACCAGATATAAGAAAATCTTTTTATCGTTCAAATAATTATCACCCGATTAATCACCTTCAAAGCGCAAGTTTATCTAATTCCAATGTAGAGCCAACAAAACAGTTTCCTCAACAAACTAAACATGTGTGTGAAGCCAACAAGCAAGAGCTTTATAGAAAAAATATTCGTGATCAAAATCAAAATATCCTTTTTAATAATGTTAATGACAGAGCAATACCGCCAATATTAAACATCACCCAAAATGTTCAAGCCGAAAAAAGATCTGCGGAATCATATCAAGAAAATCGATTTGGTAAAACAGACGTAAAGTGTACCAAGAACCAAATTAATGAAAATACGTGTCATTGCAACGAACAATATATTTATTTCGATTCTGCCAATTGTTCACGTAAATATAAGGAACAAGCGCATCGTTGTCATAAAGAAATTGCTCAGCCTGAAAATTTATGCGACACAAGAGGCTATAATAACAGCTTAGATAATTGCATTAATTTGTCTAGTTCTACGCAAAATGTACCGTTGTTAACACTGAGGCAAAACGATGATCTATATATGTATCCGAAAGCGATCGACGATCAGCATCGTGCAGTGTTATTGCAAAATGTTACTCAACCTGTAAAATACTTAGCTGTCGAAAATGGTTCGAATATCCAAAAAATTCCTGTGTATATAAATGACAGAAGTGTTAGGGTTGCGGAAAATGCCCCGTTGAAAGTAATAGCTGTAATGGATCCAAGTATCCAAACAAAAACATTTCCGCAAGAAATTGCGACGAAGGTAGTATCATTACAAACAGATAATTTGCACTTTAATAATTTTGCAACACATAAGATAAGCGATCAATCTTACGTAAAGCATTTAAATTCTGTGAACGCGATATTGTTAAATCCAGATTCGCAATCTAATGTGTGGTACGCTCCAAATTTGTAATGTATACGTGATTACAAGTACACCGTAGTATACACCAACATAGTTGATCGTAGCGACACGGCACATCGATCATATTTCTTACGAGCAATATTGTAATTGCAAGAAATGCGTGTGCTTTCCCTTCCCATACATATAAACATTTGTTATTAAGATAAAAGTTATAAGTCTGCCTTGAAAGGCAAAATTATGTCTATTTATTTTATAGACTAAATATTTTGTGGAAAGATAGGAACCTCTTGGAAAGAGGTATGTTTCGCGAATAAGAGGTATATATATTTTCATAAATGCTTTATGATACTTGCTAATAATTGATACACACTACATAATATATATGTGTGTGCGCGCGCACGCGTGTGTGTGTGTGCATTTTTGCTTATTTATCTTTCTACAAATGTGAAAGATAATATACTTCTAGTACTAGGTATTTTCTTAATGAATAATTAATATTTGATTTGGTATGGAAAATGAAAGTACAAAACTGCCTGTGATAGTTGGAACATATATGTATTATTATGTTACCGTTAAGTCATAATTCTTGGACATCAAATGTTTAACATAGGAGAAATTCATTTTCGTCAATCTCACAGCAATATCGATACATATATTAGTGAATTTCTGAATAAGTGTGATAAAGGCTTGTAAATAAATGTCGCAGAACGCAAAGTGTATACGGCAGCAAGATGGCTTGCTAATAAATCCCTAATATTTCCTAACTCGTTAGTTCGGAGCGGGTTAATTGTGAAGCGCAATTAATTTTTTCACAAGAATCTTCTGCTGAAAGCACTCGCTTTGCTTTTTATTCTTTCCATTAAATTCGAAATAAATATTTAGAGATATCGATATGACAACATAGAGCGTGCACAAGGCGAGAAGGAGACGTCTCTTCGTGACGGTACGCGATACCAGAAGACCGGATCGACGTTGATTCCATTATTATTACGATTCGCTTTAACGCGTCAACGTCGTGCGGAGCGATTTGATTAAACGCGAGTACATTTTCTTTTACAATCACTTAGGAAGTACTCTAGGAGGAAGTCTCTAGGTACACGTGCCCGTTCCTTGCCAAACGATACGATCGTTCGTTCCTACCGGTTCGGCGCGCGACGGCAAAGCCGCGTGTTTACTCTGGGAATGAAGTAAATAGATCTCAGTCTTCAAAATTACTTTATTGTACCAAAATAAAGTCGTTAAAGAGTTAATTACGATCTCGCGGAAATCGCTCAATATGAAATCGTAATACATCATCTGTGTGTTGGTATATAGCTGGTAGATGCTTATAGAACTGAAATTATCCAAGTCGGGTATTTTCGTGCGCCATACACAGCGGCGTTAAAATGCCATAACTCTCTTACGAACTTTATTTATAACATCCTAAAAGTTCGGACACCTTAATTTGTACTTTATGTGAGGATATCTTGGTTACGATAGACCTTGCTAACCGATTTTTAGTGTAGTTAGAACCATGCCGTGTCCTCTCGGAGATTAAGTCGAGCGGCCGTATTCTCTTCTGGGAAAGAGAAGGAGCGAAAGAGGGAGGGAGAGAGGGGGAGAGAGAGAGAAAGAGAGAAGGAGGTTGATAGAAAAAGAGAGAAACAGAGTGGGAGAAAGAGAGGGGAGGAAGGAGACAGCGAGAAATAGAGAGAAAGGAGAGAATGAGAGAGACAGACAGAGAGAGAGAAAGAGAGAGAGACGGTTCTTAACGCGTTCCCCTGAGTTTGATTTCAATATGAACGTCTCTATGCGCCAAACATAGAGAGAAAACAGTTTCCGGAAAATAGATTAATGTAGGAGAAAAAGATATCGAGATGAATATATAAAGAAGTAGACGTATCAGACTTGTGGTTTTATGTACAGCTTGGAGATTCATCGTCAACAAAGAAAGGAATTAGCGTCCTCTCGCCCATCGTAGTATGGCATCCGCTAATACATCCAGATGCGCTTTCGTCTGAAACATATCAGAATACAATTGTATTATCTGTCGACTTAGCGTTTCGTGCGAAAAAAGAAAATGAAACTTGTATATATGCGTGAATTCCGTAATTCTCGTTTCGCGTTCCTTTCTATACGTTGTTCGTATAATGATTGAAATTAATAATTGAAGCATACTGAAAGAATGGTTTTGCTAAAATATCTAAAAATTTAGCTAAATACAGATCTGAAAATAATTTGGTTAGGCCAATAATTATGTAGAACGTTCATAAACTAGAATGTCAAAACATTTACAGTAATGCTCATTATCTTTGAACGGTCTATTTATAATAATTATTTTAATCTAACAAAATTATTTTCAGATCTGGCTAAATTTTTAGATACTTCAGCAAAATCGTTCTTTCCGTATATAAATCTTCATGTACTGTTTTCACGTTTGTACACTGTTAAATCTATGTTGTCGAATTTAACTTAATGTCAACACTGCTTTTACCCAATTATCTCGTTATTTTATATCGAAGCAATGGTTATATTTGATAGTATACAATATCAATTTAACACTATATAATGTCAAATTGTTACGATATGTATCAAATTTAAATATTGTTTTAGTATAAAATAACGATATATTTAATAGGAGCAGTGTCGACTTAAATTAAGTTAAATTTGACACTATAGATTTAACAGTATAGCTTATCATACTAGATCTGATATTCAAATATCAAGTCAGTATTTTTAATATACTATTAATATATTTGATACGTTTTTAGTATATACTTTTTTTACCATATAATGAATTTCTCAATCTTTTTATCTTTTTATTAATTTTGAACATTACCTTCTTATAAGGATAAAAGATAGTATTTTTTGAATCTGAAGTAATATCAATATATAGTATTAATTTATCAAGGGATCTCCACCTTTTTTTCTGTCGTGTTGATAGCATCCCCTTGATGTGGGAACGCTGAAAGGAAAATTGGGTAATTCGAATTTATCGACGCGCAGGCTATTTTCCACACGTACAAGCAGATGGTGTGTGAATTATCAAAAAGATTGTGTTCCCGTATTTTGCTCCAAAACTCCGCCAGAAAATTCTACCGGCGAGTCAGAAAACGAGCTTTTGATATTACACCCACGGTTAACGCAAACACACGCCTCCATTTTCTTTTGAACTTTATAACGAAAGTCACTTTAAAAGTTCAGCAGAGTTTTACATAGAATGCAAAATACATATAGTCAGATGTATCTTTTAGCCTTAACCAGATGATGAAAATTTAAATAAAATTCTTGCACTTTACAAAAACTTTCGTCGAAATTTATTTAGATTTCGTTAACGGGAAATATACGATATTTATTTCCAAATTTAAGATTTAAAAAATCATTCTGTATTTTGATTGGTTTTCTTCAAAGGATCAGATTCATCAAAATTCTTTCATCGAATTAATAATAAGAGATCCGAAGATATATATATATATGTATGTATGTGTGTATGTGTGTGAACATATATATATATAATATATATTATATATAATACATATACATATATGTATACATGTAAAATAAATAGAACTATCATATAATTCTACTCACGGTTTTGTAAAACATGCAGGCTTGCCTATCCTCATCTTCGCCTGTAGGACAGTCTATAAAGCCGTCGCACAAGACATGATCGTCGATGCAATGATATCTACCCATTCTATCCGCAGTTGGGCAAGCAAATCTTTCCATTCCATCTTCGGAGACTGGACATTCTGTAAATAAAATCACAAAAATTCTTTTTCAATTCGAAAGTGGCGCTATATACTTATTGTTAGATAGAGATTCAGGTATCACCCATATAAACATTAATATTATCCGATATCTCGGCCAAATCGGAAAAATCTCGCATGAAAAGTATTGCGGAATCGGAAAACGCAGGAGCGGAGCAAGTATCATATTTCCAACATAAAAACGTTCGGGTTCTCATGTAAAATTCATATTATTTCAGTTATTGCTTTCGTTACTTCGTCAATACTTTTTCTGTTGACTACGACCATTTTCGATATTTCTAATTTCTGCGGTTTATCAAAATAAATACTTCCATTAATATTTAAAACGTCAATTCATTAAATTAATTACAAGACAGTTACCACATAGAATTTTTCATCTATAATTGTGACAACTAATGTAAATTTAATTGTCGTTAATCGGCAGTTATATCAATGTTTAAATGTACATTTCAGTATACTTGGTATTCTCGCAGCATGTTCAGTATTAAATGTAGTTGACTGATTCTCCGTGTTATTTGCCCAGCATGACGGTGTATCTCAAAAGCCCGTGTACTCAGTGTACGCTAAATGTGGTTAGCATAGTTCTCCGTGCTACTTGCTTAATACGAAGATCTCATTCAAAACGCGTAGGATGAGTCTTAGTAAATGTAATGCCAAATATGTACGATGAGAGATATGGGTCGACGAATGTAAAGTTCGATGTTAAACTTGTTATCGCGATAATAATCGCGATAACAAGACGGATGTCCGTAGCATTTTATATTGTGACCTATCACTTTATATATCGTGACCCGAACAGATCAGCTCATGATAAAACAACGCTTGACCACCCTTCGTTTTACGTTTTTATAACGACTCTCTTTTCAAAGTAAGTCTGGTATTTTAAAGAAACTTTCAATGAAAAGAACCCCCGCATTCCACACATTCCTCACGTTTTAAATTTCTCAATATCGTCTACACGACCGAAGGATGTTTAGTGGCATACTCTATTCAGCTTATTTCACGCCATCGTCTTCTCGCGAATTCGCCCCGTCGGCGCTCTCTTCGATCAATAAATTTGGGAGGGACGGTGGGCACGCTCATGCGACAGCGTTTCGTCACTTTTTCTTTATTTGCAGAAGCGCTTTGTCTGTATTTCTCGCGCGCGACGCATTTTATTTGGATTTATAGACCTGTTCTATTCGTGTGTAACTCACACCATGTATATCTGTATTATAACGTACTCATTCGAGTCATATTTCAAAAAATTAGAACAACTTTCACATTTTCGTACAAATGCGGATTTTCAGGGAAATCGAGATTTACGAGGAATACACGTATCAATTCCAATGAGCTCTCTCTTCTTGAAATTTCTAAACTATCACTATTAAATTTACTTTTTGGTTAAATGAATACATTATTTAAAAATTCATTTTATCTAAATTACTGTTTTTTTTTAATCCTTCATCCACAAATTATGTAAAATATAGGTAACTTTAAAAAACTGATTTTATGAATTTGCAAATTTTTACAAGTAAAAAAATTTTTCTTCGCTATTCTTATCTTACAATTTTCGATTTTTATCTATTTTTTTTTCAGTAAAATTTTTCTTCGCTATTCTTATCTTACAATTTTCGATTTTTATCTATTCATTTTCATTTTTATTTATTCTCATTTTCACGAGAAGCAACAAAGATTTAAAGTAAATTAGTTTCTCAGAATTATAAAATATCCTTATGTTTTAATTCGTCTTTGTTCAACATTCGACCCAGCTCTTCATTTAACGTTCAGAATTACGTCAAGAAGTGATTGGAATATTAGGAATAAAAGAAACAAAAAAGTAATCAGATAGTTGGAAATCTCTTCTCTCGTTATATATAATTTATTATATATTATATTATTTATTACATATTATTTAGTTTCACAAAAATAAAACTTTTTAAATTCATTTTAATCCATACATTTTTCAAGGAAATGAAAAAAACGTGAGAGAGAGGATTATGTTTTATCAAAGTTGAAATACGTTTTTATATATGTATGAAAATTTTATATATGTATGTTCACCCATATCATTATCAGGAAATTTGACATATTGTTATCGGAACATTTAAAAAGGATTAACGTATCTCTGTAACTTATCATACGATAAATGTCTCGATATGTGTTAACATCAAATAGAAGTTTAATCAAATTGATTTTTACAGAAAAATGTTTCTTTGTCTACAACTCACAAAATTGATCAAATGTTTTAAAAACCTTACACCAATTTTTACTATTTATATAAACATTATAATATTTATAATAATATGTATAATAAAAGAAGGTAAAGAAGGAAAAATTAGGCAAGAGTAAAACAAATGTTAATATTATATGTTATCAGTAGGACAGAATATTCCTCTGAAATTTTTGGAATTTTTTAACCTTCCGAAATTGACGGTGAATCTATTAAACTTCCTCAATTATAAATCTTTTTATTAAAAATATCAAACAAATTCAATTTTCTTAGTTACGTCTGTATAAATTTGGATTTTTTAAAAATTAAATTTTTAACCCTCTCTCTCCAGAGTTGACAGTAGATCTATTTGACCACCTCAATTATAAATCTCTATCAAAAATGTCAAACAATTCAATTTTTTTTGTTACAGGATTGGATTATTCTTATCAAAATATACATAGTATTTATTCCTTTTTGTTACGTTATGTTATTTTGGTCCCTTGAAATTAATACCTTTTAATTCACATAAATTAAGTGGATCTTACGGATTTAGCGTCAGTAACTATTTATACAGAGTTTGGCATCAGCTCCGGAGGATTAAACACACATGAGTGAAAAACGCTATATTTAATCGATGCGGTTTTCGTTTTCAATATTTCGTGTGAATTTATATAATTTCCAGTTGAAGCTAACTGTGCGTTAATTATTTATCGGTCTTGAAATACAATCCTAAACCGAAACTGGAGTAGTAATATCACAAATTATCGACGAACAGTTTAATATTATTGCTGTAAAAAAGCATCGTGGAAGCTGTAAATAATTCATTGCAAAATTGCGAAAAATATCACCCCAGCCGAATTCGAACTCGGATCTTCTATAATCCGGAGGATTAAAGCACATGATAAATTTGGTTAATCAATGAAACATTTTCGCGGAGTACTCATAAATATCTACATACAAGGAGAGAATAGCACTTACCGATCTGCGGCACGTCGTATTGTATGCTTCCCCGGATTGATCTCAGCATAAGCTGTGAAGCGATGCTCGCGCCAGTGGACGACGTCGAGGACGCCGAGGACGCTTGAGCCTGGTGTCCCGGGGATTCTCCTTGCGCGTCGATCGAACGCCGCCCGACCGTTATCTGGTTCCGTTTACTTCCGGGTAGTTTGTTTCCGCTAGTCTCATAGGCGAAGACCTTAGGTACGAAGCCGCCATTCGTAGGTAAGTTAAGCGGGGTGCCGCCCTCGGCGCGCGCGAGATCAGTCTTCGTACTCGTCGCAGTGTTAAATCTCTGCTCCGCGTAGAGATCGTCGTGATTCGATTGTCTAGATTCCTGAAGGGTGGTAGCCTTCTTGCCAGCCTCGTCGCATACCAGTATCGGTAGACTGAGCGGACCTCTCAACGGATGCCGGCATCCGATGCGCCGCTTCTTCAGACGCTGATGGGCCTGCCGGCCGCCGAGCAGATGATTGCCATCGTCGTGAACGTAGGGCTCCGCGACGTGGGGTTGCGTTGCGGCGTGTGGCTGCGACGTTACGTACTCGGAATAGAGAACGTTCAGCACGGCGGGTGACAGGGCAAAGAACACGTTCTGGAGCTCCCGCGGCTCTTTCACAATGTCGTCGATCAGCATACCCGCGGGCGACCACGAGGATATACGCGGCTCGTCGTTGAAGACCAGCCAGTTCGACAGGTCGTCCCGGTAGGGACCATCGGAAGGATATATTTTTAGATGCAACAGGTTGTTACCTACCGAGCTCAGTTCGCTCTTCTTTCTAATGCTACTGCTTCCGTGACGATAGTCAAGTCCCTGTGTGCCTTGTACTTGTATAATCACGGGTCGATTGCCTACCGCCAAATCCAGCCCCTGTCCCACGTAGGTGAGAAGCCAGAACATGCAAACTGCCATTTTACAAATCATTAACGCTTTTTAAGTCCCTTTTTTTCTCTATTTCTTTATTCTCCTCTCTCTCTCTCTCTCTCTCTCTTTCTCTTCTACCCTTCTAACTTTTTCTATCTGTCTATATATATCTACGTATATATTTCTCTTTCTTCTTCTTCCTTCTCTACCACCACTTTTGACGCACCCGATTATACGGCTGGGCGTGGTGTTATAATTGACCTAAATGAACAGCAATGATGCTCTTTTCTCTTTTATTTTTTCTTGTTTGCTCTCTTTAGCTGCTTACTACTCACTGCCAGTCTAAAGGCACGTCTGTAGCAACTCTGGGTTAGGCCGACTTTTCGTTTGAACTCGCGGTAGGTACACTAGGAAGTTGAGGATGGAATGTCTGTATATTACAGGTATATGTGTGTACGTGTGTATGTGTATATATACGTATAAGTGTGTGTGCGTGTATGTGTGTGTGTGCGTGTGTGTGTGTGTGTGTGTGTGTGTGCAGGGTGGGCGGGAGATACGGGGCGGTCGATTGATATCGAGAGGGTGAGGAAGGGAAGGATAAACTTGATAAAAAATCACGAGCGGCGATATGTTACGACACAACGACGATTATTGCATAGAAAACGTAACGGTGCTACGCGTGCAACTGTATCAACTGCAATCTGCCTAGCATGCTCCAATTGGGACCACGGATTCTGGTCGCAAGAGATCTGAGAAGTACCGGGTCTTTCTCTTTTTTTCTCTCTTTTTCTCCTTTTCGATCTCTCTGTTTCTATCGAGGATAAATCGCCGACTCGAGCGCACGGTGTATTACGTTTGACATTTGATTGCGTTATGCTCGCTCTTCTAATCGATACGCTTCACTTTCGGTAGTCCATGATAGTAGCCGCGACCTTGGTTTTCCCTTCGTGATAAAGCGCACACGTCCTGTACCGACCGTCCTGAAATCAGGTCGTTAATAGAGAATAATGTGCGATATCTTATAACCGTGAGTGCCAGGAACACAAAAAGATTTGTGGTGGTTTTTTTTAAATTTTCTTTTATTTTTTTTAAAATCTATTACTTTTGGTTTTGTTTTTTTTTTTCTCAGGATATATTCAACAGAAGTGCTGCGACATGTGGAGGTGGTTATCGGAGGTGCTCATCGTGCGTGCTCATAGATGCGTATAAGGTGCTCGAGTGTGGACAACATTTAAATCAATCGATGGTGCCACTCATGTTAAACGCCCGCGATCGTTTTTTTTTCACGTTTTCGCCAATAAAGCTATCATCTCTCCGAGAGACGACCCTCTCCCTCGGTGTTGTTTCCTCATTCGCTTACCTTTCTTTTCTTGCCTTTCTCTCTATCTTTTTCTCTCTTTCCTTGTTCCTCTCTCTGCTCTTTCAATCGGCCCACCCTCTCTTTTTCGTTTCCTCTCTGCCGTACGTCCCTAGCTTCCCTTCCACCTCACCTATCGAACGAACATCCCGGATATCGTACGTTTCCACAAAGCGGAAATCAAGCTATGACGCCCCGGCGGCGATCGCGATTACGGATAATCCACGGATTAATAACCATCTACGTGTCCGCTAGTAAATAATCGCGCCTACCTAAATTTCGCTCCGAGAGCCGCAACCATAATGTTGGCGAGATAAGCCGCGTACGTGACTGCGGAGTCATTTTCACGGAGCGTGCCATTACTGAACGGAGAGACTATCGCAACGCGAAATTTACAGAAGGTTATCGCCGCGATTCCTTTCCAGCTCTTACGTTTCTGTAAATTCCAAATTTTGTACTTAAACGCTATGTCGAGCGCTAGAATCTCATTCACATACTCGAATTAATTTCGGACTCGGTGATAGATTCGAATATCAAAACTCACCTGGACCACTAAAATTACTCCAAAGCTACGTTCCGTTCCACGCATAATACGCATGAAGTATTTTATCCTTATCGTTCACAAAGAGTGTTAAAGAGGATAAAATGATACATCATGCGCATTATACCTGCAACGAAATGCCGTTCAAGTATATACTTTTACCCGGAATACCTGCTATAAAAATTTATGAATCGAACTTAAACGCCCCCAAGCGATTCTGTATTTTATTACGAAACGGAGATTTTGTATGACGATTCACGATATACTTTGCGCTGAATTTGATCGCGTCCCTCTTATGAAAAGAAATCTTTCACGATTGAAGACACAAACTTTTTCTCAAATTATTCATATACATATATACTTTGAGCGTCGTCATGCAATTTCGCAAAATATCAAGTAAGTAAAATGACAGAATCGCGATTGCGTTGAAACGAGTAACTTTAACCTAAATAGCTTTACGATATCGATTCAAGTCACGGGGAATTTTTCGAATCTTTCTAAAATCCGCGCCATCGCGCGAAAACGATATTCAGACCTGTTTTTACCAATGTAAATTGACTTTAACCTTGGTTTAATTTACTTTTTATCTTTTTCCACTTCTAAGAATTAAAAAAGGATAAAAAGTAAATAAAATCGAGATTAAAGTTAATGTGTACATCGGTAGAAATGGATATCAGCCGTGTCTAATACGCGCCGCGTCCGTCCGCGGCGACGTAACTCGCGCGAGCGGAATCGACACACAGGACGCGACGATTCTCGAGTATCGGATCCCGAGTAACGGATCCGATAATCTGGTGCCGTACGACATTATGAAAGGGTGACATAATATGGATAGCAGTGTGGTATGTAGGTCGGTCATATCAACAGGTGCCCCGAAAAACGTTCAAAAAGCAAAGGCTTGCCGTGGCAGAGAGCGGTGCGCGTTTGTCGGTGCGAGACGCGGGAGTAGGCGGTACACGAGCGTGTATTGCGACAGAGGTACACAGGATGTGTAGAACAAAGGCAGAGAAAAAAAGGTACACCGATATATATATATATATATATATATATATGTACATACACACACACACATATATATATATATATAGCGGAGGATGCCCGGGCGCGAGAGACGCCCGGAGAGTTACAGACAGAGATTACGGTTCATCGATAGGAGGTGCAGTGTTACGCGGGGCATTACGTGGGTAATACTTGCTTCTTGATATCTCGCCGCCGCGCGTCTGCCGTGCCAGCGTATTTCCTCCCGAGCTTTCGGATCTCCGATCTCCCGCCTCGGCCTCTTTTCTTCCCTCGACCCTCCGCGTCGCGTCGCGCCGTTCCGTGATGCCGCTTCTCGACCTAAACTCCCTTTCCTTTCTTGTCCTCTAACTCTTTTTTCCTCTTTCTTTCCTTCTTTCTTTTTTCCTTTCTCTCTTTCACTTCGCCCTCTCTTCGCCTCTATCTTTCCTCTTCTCTCTTCCTCTCGTTTCTTCTTCGCTCTTTATCTTCTTTCTCGCCCACAGCTTCACTTAATCTTCTGTGCGCGATCCTGTTGATATCGCGCGGTATGATATCTCTCTTTGCCTTCACCTCGCGGCCTTCTCCCGGGGGGAACGTCTGTGAATGAAAGGGGATGTCTTTCGATGCGTTCGGTCCTCTTTGCACATGCGAGCGAGCTTTTCTTCTTTTTACTGCTCCGCTTTCCTCAGCGGACACCCAGGTTTCTGACTGAAGCTACCGTTCCTCTGACTGAGGCGACGTTCGTCATGCATCACGCTACCTCTTCCTCTCCTGCTTGGATCGTCGCGCGCCACGGAAAGACCTATGTTCGCCTCGACAGCAGCACCCTAGTAGCACCCCGTGCGATCATACCACGTACGACGTCGTCCGGTTACCCACGGTAGGGCGCGATTCATTCACTGACATCTTCGTCGCTCACCACGATCCGCTTCCGTATGGTCGTTCATATATGGGCGTGTAATGTCGTGCGCGCGCGCGCGCGCGCGCTCTCGTCCGCTCGCTCGAGCTGAATGTACGTGCGTGCGTGCGTGCGTGAGAGTGCGTACGTGTACGTGTGGTGTCTAACGTTATGCTAAAGATATGGGTCGTAATCACCGCGATGTCACCGCGAAGTCACCGAGACAAATCTTCCAGGTTGTTCTAATGCTCGTTTCTAACTAACGCAGTTATGCGCCCCCTTCCGTCTCTCTTCCCACCCCTGCTTCTTTTTTCTCTCTTTCTCTCTTTCTCTCCCTCTCGCTCCTCTCCTCTCCTCTCTCTCTCTCTCTCTCTCTCTCTCTCTCTCTCTCTCGTCTTTCCTTTCTCTAGGCCTGTAATACCGGTCTTTTACGATGATGTCTGGTCTGCGACTATAATCGCGCGGCGTATTTCAAAGGTTAAAGGCTGTTTCCCGCGGTTGCCCGACTTCCCGTGCTGACGTCGCCGACGATCTCGACCGGCCGCGCCGGTGTTCCATTGAGCGACGAGAAACGTTCCCTCTCTCTTTCTCTTTCTCGACTCTCTCTCTCTTCCTTTGCTCTCTCTCTCTCTCTCTCTCTCTCTCTCTCTCGCTCGCTCTCTCACTTCGTCTCCCACGATGCGTAACTCTTTCCGCTCACCCGACCTCGGCACGTCGCGCGACAGCACCGCTTCTCGTTGATGCACACCCCCTCGCGAACGCCGTCGTTGACGCGCTTGCACTGGAGAAGATCCTCGCGAGGGTGTCGTGCGACGAGTGGCCGACTCGCCCCTTTTCTTTACGGCGCGGAAGTAGGTGCTCTCGACCGACGGGAAGAGACGACGGAATCGAATGGTGAGGAGGTTGCGGCCGTGGATGGTTGCTTTGTTGGTCGAAGGTCGAGGGATGTGGAGGATCGAAGGGTTGGGACGGTGGGTTACTTCGGTGAGTGAGCTGCCTGGCGCCCTCACCAGAACTAACTCCCACGCTGCGCGGCGAGGACCCGGCGCTTTAATACAACGCGCATTCTCCCGGCGCTACCCCTCTTCTCTGACACCGAGGTGAGCGACGACGGGGTGGCTTTCACCCCTTCTTGCCTCTCACCTGGCCTCGCCTCGCCTCGTCTCACCTCACCTCACCTCACCTCACCTCACCTCACCTCACCTCACCTCACCTCACCTCACCTCACCTCGCCACGTCTCGCCTCCACCCCGGCCGACGCGCCCATGAACGGATTAAAGCTGCCGCGAGCCCTAAGCACCCCCGGACCGTATACTCTACGACTTCATATGACGTTTCACAGCGATACGGTCAAAGGTGATGTGGCCATCACCAGTGGCCACCATCCAATCCACGATCCACTATTCGTATGACAATTTCGTACTCCTCACAAATATAGGACGTCGTATTGTCGCCGGCTAACACTGTTCGTGACTCGTTCAAGCATATCATTCAGTCCCTACATAGCTCGAAATGAAAGATGCATGCAAAGTAGAAAAATGTCAATTCTACTGACGGAGAGAAGGCGATATCTGGAAATATCTAAGGGGGAATGTCTATAGTTTCGGTGTTCCTCAGTCAGCAAACAGTCGTTCTGCTTCTTCCCGCTGTTAAAGCGGAGATCGCAAAATCAAAAGCTAGAATGAAGGATCCCGGTCCGACCTTCGCTATCCTGTAAAATCCACCCCTACCCGTTTTAGTCAGCCGGGCTGGGTGCCTCGCCGTGCGCACCTAATCGTAACCGCCCAGTTTCTATCTCTTCTCATGTAGCCATCACCTGACGCACGTTCTTTCGATCACTGTTTGGCTACGCATGTCGCAAGGTCCTGCCTACGTTCGCGGGAGATTGTCTCAGTCTCTTGATAATACATCAGTTGCAGCTTCGTGGGAGTGTTTGCGGATGACGTTAGTCGATCTGAAGTTCCCCCGAAAGACACATGTAATTGACTGCCGTTCGAATTACCTTGACTTTCATGATCCAGGGACAGTTTTCATTAATTAATCGTCCGGTTTTATATACTCGGTTCATATCTCTTCCATTTTGTTAGCTAATGGCTACACCTTCGCTGTTTACTGCCATAAATTAACGTGCGTGACGTAAAATACACAGCGTGACGACACATTCATTAGATTTGGAATTCTCGAAACTCATACAAACATTTGTAACACTAATTATTTTAGCATATTTACTGGTGCAATTTTAATCTCTATTTAAGGAAAGGCTTGAAAAATGTTAGCTTCTTTTACTAATTATTTTATTCAATTACGATTTAATTAAATATAATATGATTCAAGAGAAGAAAACGTGAGAAGTAAGAAATTTAATTAGTATAAAATTTAAATAAGGTTTGATTATATCTCTCTATACAGATTCCAAGAAAAAACGTCAGATAAAAGAGCAAACAAAGTATATTTAATTCTCAATAGTTTGTAACAAAAAGTTGTTGATGCATAAATAACTATCACTTTTTTTAGCATATATTGATATTTATAAGAAAAGCACAAGTATAATTCTGGGACACTCCATGTACGATAAATGAAGGAACGAAATTTTTAGCACCTACTGGACAACGTCGACCTCTTATTTACATGTTCTTTTTATTCCCGTCGCATCGATTCAAAGTTCATTTATTTATAACTAGTTTCGTAGAAAAGATAGAAAATTAACGACGGTTCATCGTACGTTCAAACAAATAACTATATTGATTTACGTTCATCGTTCGGAAATAGATTTATCTGGAAAAAACTAAACATATCATAATTCTTGCGGAGTACGCTAATTAATTTTTCCACAGTGTACAATTATTACAATGTTCTTTTTTCCTTAAGGAGAAACATGAAATATATATAAGAAATATCTTTCATTATAGACACGTGCAATAAATATGATATTATATGATACGTAAATATGATATTGTTATGCAGGTGATATAAATAAGAAAAAAAAACATTATCTCTGGAGTATATGTCATAACGAGTTTGACATATACATCACTAATAAGGTAAATTATATAGTTGTGCAACCTTTTAATTACATAGGCGTTATAGGCAAACTTATATGTTCTCGATAACTTTTAATGAGATACTCGCCTACTGAACCTCCAGAGACTCAGATGTTGCAAATAATAAGTTTTGGATTTAACTGTAATACTGCGCAGATGAGTTGTGTACGCAGTTTTTTTTATAACAAATATCTCTACGAATATTTATACGCTTTTTGCTCTCTATTATTTTTCTCTCTATTGATAGATAAAATTTTTAAAAAAAGAGAAAAAAATTGTTTTGGACGTACTGAATTAAAACGAAAAATGTCTTGTTTATCTGATACGATTAATGAAAATAATAGAACTATTTACGTTTAAATAATCGGATATAATAAAATAATATAATACAATATAAAATAATCGGATGCATTTCTCATACATAGAGATAAACATAAGTGCTAAGTAATAACACAGAATAGCTTTTGACAATCGACTCTTCGTCGTAAACAAAGATACTGTTGTAGAAAATGCGGCAAAATATTAAATTTTTCTATTGTTTAATAACATTGTTAAAATTGTTTTTTTATTTTGAACAGTAATAATATATTATTGCTGTTAATATATATTTAAATCAAATGTTTTTCGATCTTTTGTGGAGATGTGGAAGTCTATTCTCGAGCAAATTAAAGGGATTATTAAAGACATGTGAAAATTATTGAATAAAAATAAAGACATACTCGCATTAATATTTAGTTATTAAATAAAATAGTCTTATATTTATAATGATTTTCGACAGTAGTCATGAATACGTCACACTAAAGGAAGAAAATAAAAAGATCCTCCTTTTGGACAAAATATATACAAGACTTGACAAAGTAACAAACAATTGCACAAAATACTAAGATCCTAAATAGAAAAAAGTAATATTCCCAATAAAATTAAATCAATACATAAATAAACCTACAAATCCTCTTTTATTCAGCTATACGAACTACCAAAAATATATAAACTATGTGTGTGTGTGTGTGTGTGTGTGTGTGAACATCCCAATTGTTACCACCATAAATTCCCCAATATATGACTTTTCGTTTTTCTTGCTCAAAATCTACATAACTTGTGATAGGAAAAACCGAATTATATATAAACTCGACGGATTTTATACAGAAAATACAGAAAATTATAAATTACTTTCTGGAGACATGCTAAAGAGCTTTGATGTAGAATCCCTCTTTACATAAGTTCCAATCAAAGACATACTAGATATAATCATATGAAAAATTATCCTCTTAGTTTTTGAAAATTAATCAGCCGAAAGTAATCGCCTTCATCACAGTTTCAGCAACTTTTTCTTCCATCATATTATCTGTCCTCTTTCCTGCCTCCTTTCCCCTTCTCCCTTTATAACATACATAAAGAGAATATTCCAGAGAGGCAGCTCAGTATCAGATTGCTTCTCGCCTTGATGAAGTAAACTGCAGTGTTTACAAAATGTTAGCATTTAACCATGTATCAAGATACGGAAATAACTTGTAAACCGTGCAGCTTTTTTTAAGAAAATATCCGGAAACTTTGAAAGTATAATTAATAATGATCTTTAATACCTCGTAATAATATCCTATATTTATAATTATTCTAACATTTTTTCTCCATTACTAATATACTTTTCTCATCAACAGCATTTAAAAAATAAAATATTAGTCGATATTTAACAGAAAAATATGTGAGAGAAATTTGTATTTTTAACAAATAAATTCTGAATTATATTCAGTAATTTTCTTCGATGTATTTTAACTGATATATTAACTATGTAACATATTTACAATAATTTTAA